AATGCCCTAGCTACTATAAGCCATGATTTAATTAATGCCCTAGCTACAATAAGCCATAATTTAATTAATGCCCTAGCTACTATAAGCCATGATTTAATTAATGCCCTAGCTACAATAAGCCAGGATGTAATTACCGTCGTGGCCACCATAACCAAGCACACAGTCATTGGCTTGAACGATTTTGTTGTTACTATATGACGTTCATATGATGAAGTGGCCCGGCATGGTCAGGTGGTTAGGGCGCTCGACTCGCAATCTGAGGGTCGCGTGCTCGAATCCCTTGCTCGCCCTTTCAGCCGTGGGGGCGTTATAATGTGACGGTCACTCCCACTACTCGTTGGTAAAAGAACAGCCCAAATTTGGCGGTGGGTGGTGATGACTAGCTGCCTTTCCTCTAGTCTTACACTGCTAAATTAGGGACGGCTAGCGCAGATAGCCCTCATGGTATTTATAGCTCTAGATACACCGTTGTTAACTGAACCAGATCTACATCATGGTATTTATAGCTCTAGATACACCGTTGTAACCTGAACCAGATCTACATCATGGTATTTATAGCTCTAGATACACCGTTGTTAACTGAACCAGATCTACATCATGGTACTTATAGCTCTAGATACACCGTTGTTAACTGAACCAGATCTACATCATGGTATTTATAGCTCTAGATACACCGTTGTTAACTGAACCAGATCTACATCATGGTATTTATAGCTCTAGATACACCGTTGTTAACTGAACCAGATCGATATCATGGTATTTATAGCTCTAGATACACCGTTGTTAACTGAACCAGATCTACATCATGGTATTTATAGCTCTAGATACACCGTTGTTACCTGAACCAGATCTACATCATGGTATTTATAGCTCTAGATACACCGTTGTTAACCTGAACCAGATCTACATCATGGTATTTATAGCTCTAGATAGACCGTTGTTACCTGAACCAGATCTACATCATGGTATTTATAGCTCTAGATACACCGTTGTTAACTGAACCAGATTATTACAAATACTACATAAACACTAAATTTTACTCTGCTCATACATGCTCAGGAATACAAAGATATTTAATAATTTATGTTACTGTCAAAACTGGTATTAAATCGACTTTTTAAATACGACCATCGTATGCAGTTACTTAACATTACGGAAGTCAGCTACAATGATCGTGTAGGTGGTGTGGAGCCTCTATGGTTGGTGTCCAGCTACTTTACACTAACAATTAATGTGTTACTGTACACCATACGAGGGTCTACTGGCTCGATCACGTAGTACGTGTGTAAATCGTCTTCACAATAAAAAAAAATATTTGCTTCCTGTAGATAACACAGTTTTTTTTTCTGTAATACATTAAAAAGGAATGTTATTTGTATCGTTGCTAGTCTTATAAAGAATTTGTATATTGAAGTTTGAGTTAGTTACATGTTTCTTTATCCAGTGTGTCGTTCT